TGTTTTACGGTGAGCCTGGTGTAAATCAGAAGAAACAAAAAAGCACAATCACCATATTGCGCGAGACTAAATATTCCTCTCGGCGTTTAAAAAAATGGGTAATGTTAATCTCATGTGCTGCCGGGCTCAGAAGGCAGGTATCGCCGACTGTATTGATCTCTTTCTATTTCTCTCCAGTCCCATCTCCTTGCACAAGTGGTCACCTGTTCGACTTCGAAAACGTGAATGAGGCAAATTGCTTTCAGTCTAATCCACCGGGATCGGGTACAGTAACTCTGTCTTCAGACCGAAAGACCGTCAAGCAGGGACAAAAGTCCTTGAAGTGGAAAGCGACTGGTGCCTCAACGCTGCGACTTTACGCTGCTTCAACATTCACCATTCCTAACAGGTGGCTCTCCCGAGGAGGCGTCAAAGTGTGGTTGTACAAAGAAAACGCCTCACCTGGAAAAACCCTTACGGTGGAATTCAAAAACACTGTCCAGCGTTCAGCTACTACCGTCGCTCGGTTTCAAGTGAATCTTGATTTTCAAGGGTGGAGAGGAATTTGGGTCACGTTTTCAGAGTGCAAGTTGACAAGCACAAGCTTTTCCTCAGGTGCCGTGATCAATGATGTCAACTTCGTCCTGAGTGAAGCCGACACGATCCACATAGACTTGTTAGAGTTTTCGCAGAGCGTTAGCAAACAGTCACGTGATAAAATTGTACCTCCCGTTAGTCCTTTTGGCTTAGAATTGTATGACGCAAGTAACTTTTGGCAACGGACGTACTACTGGAGTCAACAGTCCCCTCCTGCATTGCCCACGACAGTTGATCCAAAAAAGATACAGAGCTTGGAGGTTATTAAAAGCCGGCTCAGGAACTGGTACTGTGATGAAACGAAAGCATCGCCCAAGTTCCAAGGGACAAGTATCATCAAAAATAGATGGAATTCCCTATCGCGAAGTATTAAAGACGCACATTCAAAGTACCAGGCACTAAAATTCGATGGAAACAAAGTCATCGGCCCACCTTTGTTTTGAAGAGACTGCAGAAACGGACAAAAATTTGGATTTATCATGGAAACAATTCTTTTGCCTTTGGCTTTGGAATACCATCTTAGATCTCGAACTGTAGAAATAGATAGTACTGTTACTGCCCAGCTGGCTAACCTTAACTCTAATCAGCAAAGCAAAAAAAACAATGCATACAAAGCTATTGCAGGCGAGCAGAGGGACATGCAAAACAAATTTAAAAGCTACCTATCCTCAACTCCCCCCCTAACCAGCCAACAAGTCAAAACTGCCATAAACTCTCTTAATGTTCATCGATTAAACAAAATCAACAACCTCCTCGATTACGTCAAACAACAAGGATTCGCCGACGGAAGTGGCCTTGGATCTTTGGACCACGAAATGAACAAGGATGGTGCTGGATTCATGCATACTCTGTTTCTTCTCTGTGTTTCTCTAAGCCCACCTTCAAAGAGCAGATTGTTGGACCTCATTAGCACAGCAAAATGGTACAATGACTTCGGAGAAGTTTATCAGTCTCCAACATTTGAAATCAAAGGAACCACTGCTGACCGTATGATCTCGCTACTTCTGTTTAGACTCATTATAGTGTTGGTGATGCCACAAGACAATGATGCAGAAAAAAAAGCCAAGATTCGGGACATGGACGCTGTGCTTCGATGGATAAATAACGCTTTAGCAGTGAACGACGGTCTTGGAGGAGTGATCAAACCTGACTTTACAGGACATCACCACAAAGCGTTTTATGGATCAGCGTATGTGCCACAAGCTTTGCACAATGCAGCTTTGGTTCATTACCTTCTTGGAGGAACGGAATTCGTTCTATCGACAACATCGGTCAACAACATCAGGCGAGGACTTGAAACGCTGCGTCTTATAGCGCTCAAGTATTCCACTCCAAACAGTGTTAACGGACGGTTCCCAAATTATGTCAAAAAGGTTCTCATCAAAGCAGCATTAGCAGGCTATGCTTACATCAGCGTTGAACATCCTTCCGTTCTGCCTTCTGTGACACCAACAGGAATCACTGTAACCAATGTGAAAGGCGCAGAAATGTTCTTGCGGTTATATGATGAGAGCGACCCAGATGTGGATAATTATTTAAAAGATGGAAAAATTAGGAAGGGCAAGTACTATTTCAACAGTTTGGGATCTCTGGACATTATGAAGGCAGTAAGTAGAAGTATTGTTTTTTCATGCTTTAAAAAGATCAAGTTCATTCTAATTAATTACAAGGTAAAATGCCAATGGTAAACTTTATCTATTTACCAGATGTTGATGGTGTTTAAACAATATAATTTAATTTCTGGAGGACGAACGTCTGATGTTTACTTCTAACGGGAACGAATATATTTCTCCGGATCGCCGATCTGCAACGGTTTCCTAACTACTAATCGTTTAATACCATCCTCTTTTATAAAAGCTGATCAGGTATGTTTAAAATCTCTTTTGTCTTTTTTCAGGTTGTATCCACCGCTACATCTAAAAGCATTTCAGCTGAACCGTCCCCAGAAGGTCACTGGTCAAAGAACTTCGCCGTTCTATCGGTGCATCGGCGCAAGCAATGGGCTGCTTCTTGCAAAGGATTCAATCGCTTCATTTGGGACTACGAAAATAAGCCGCACAAAGAGAACATTTATGGAATGTTTGCTAGTCATGGGGCACTTCTGATTGCCAACAGTGAATCACTACTTGGCGTACATGATGTCCAAAACGGATGGGACTGGGCTAAAGTTCCAGGGGCAACAACAATCGCGATTGGAGATCCAAATCTGAATGACTTAAACATAAATAAAGCGAGGAACTACAATCGAAAGGATCTTGCTGGAGGTCTTACATTTAAAGGTACGGGATCCTTGGAAAACGGAATATTTGGTATGGACTTTAAACAACCAGATTACGGATTGACGGATTGGCGAGGGAGTATCGACCTTGAGTTCAAAAAATCGGTTTTCTTCTTTGAAAACCTGCTGGTGTGTTTAGGAAGTCACATCACGGCACAAAACACTAATAGAAAAGTCATTCAAACAACTCTTTTTCAAGACAAGTTAGTAAGTGGAGTGAGTTCGTCCTTCATAAAAGTCAACAACGTCAAAAAAGCCTATGCAGATACATTGCCTGTCGAAACACCGACGACTGCAGCCAGAAGCTACACATCCCTCACTGATGCAAAAGGAAACTTCTACTACATACCAAGTCCCAGCAAATCAATCCTAAAAGTTCACGTGCAAGATCAGACCTCAAAGACCGATGACGGCAAAACAACAACAACAGGCCGTTACGGTACAGCATGGTTCCACCATGGTGCCACTCCCTCCGACAGCGATTATGAGTACGCTGTTCTGATCCCAACACAAAGTTATCATGCAACATTAGCCGACTTGGCAACGGCCCAGGAAACACAAGGAAACAAAGTTTACACAGTTCTCCAGAAAGATTCAACTGCCCATGTCGTCCAGTTTCTCAAATCACCAAAGTCATGGACAAGCCTCAACCATCCCATTACTGGTTATGTCATGTTTGCAAGAGCCACACGCCTTCCACGTGCTGGTCCAATAAATAAAGTAGGAAGCGGCAACTGCCTTATCATGGCTGAGGAAACTTCACAGCATATCTTTCTCAGTATAAGCATTCCAAGCTTGAATCTTCATACCGCAACGGATCCTCTCACTAATTCAGGTGACGTAGGGCTGGAAGAATTATTTCAGTCATCAAGTGCGGAAAGAGAAGTAGTCGTCACGTTAAAAAAGGAAGTGCAGAAGAGCATCGTCTCGGTCCAAACTCATGGTGAACCAGACTGCTACAAACCCAACGTGTGGATTGTTCAAGGCAAGAAAGTTCGATTTTTGAATCTTAAGAATGGCTTTAGCGTAGAAGTCAAATTGAAGAAGAAGCCACGTCAGTAAAAAGCTCAGCGACCTACAAGGGCAATTTCAGTTGGTCGTGCTCTATTCCTTATGATGCATGTATTACACTGATGAATAGATATTTAAAAGTGTACGGTATCAGTAGTTAAATAAAATGAAATAACAAGTGATCAATGGTTGTCGTATTCTTTTATATTTGCTTGCATTGTTAGACGTCTGCAGCGTATGGCATAATAAACATCTCTGACGAGCTCTTTCATAGTCCGGTGGATATGTGCATATTTGAGGGAAAGCGTGCACTTTGTGAAGAAATCTCCAAATTTTGCATAAAGGTAGCTTAGAATACATTGAAAACCCTCTGATATGGAGCCACCGCTAAAAGTCTTGTTAAGGCCATTTAAGGGGTTGGTTCGCATGAAAACGAGGCTAAAATCATAACATACCTATTTCGCCTGCGATGTGAATATTAATACCTTTGGATACACTAGTATTCCTTGCTTTTTGGCATTATAACTTCACTTGCTAACCCAGTTGCATGTTCCTTTCACCTATGATCACCTATGATCTTGTAAATTCTGAATTACCTTGACCTTCAGTTTCCGTTAGAGTTTTACATGTGTTTGTACAGTACATACAAAAAAGTTCTTTCCCATTACGTTTAGGTGAAGTACGTCACGTAACTTAACAATGGACATTAATGGAGAAGTTTAAACTCATAAAGAGATGCTGCATTAATAATAGGCAGTTTGGAGAACTATAGTCTTAGTATATTACAGTAACAGTAGCTTTTGTAATTTAAGGCAACCATTATCAACGTTTGGGTAGCAGTGTAATTATTTTTGGAATCACTGGTCATTAATCTGTTAATGATCAAAGAAAAAAGTTAGGAATGCATTATCTCCTAGGAGAAATATGCACCTGCTTTGAAGTTGTAAGGGCACTATAACAATAAAAGATAGAGTTAATTGAGAGAGAGACTGGTGCCTACCCATAATGCACTTTCACATTGCAATTCACATCCGCCATATTGGATCATTTGGGAAACAACGCTATGTTGTCTGTAAGTAAACTAAAGCACTTAATGTTATTATATTGTTGCCAGACGATTTGGAATGGTTTTTCAATTGTTTGATTCTTTGGCTTAACATATTTTAATATCTAATGCTGCTTAAACTAAAAAACACTCTGAATTACTTGCTGCCATGAATTACTATTGCAACTCAACTGAATCATCATGTAGGTGCATTCAGCAACTATGAGATGAAAATCATAATAAATTCGTTGTTGGAATAAACAGTGAAATTTCATTGTCACCAATTAGGTAATAGAGCTTTTCATTTGAATGGGTTAAATGCGATCAAATTTGTCGAAAGCTGTGTTTTAAGTATGTTTCTGAGTACTGAATTATGTATAATATTTGAAGTCAACTGCTTCATCTGTTAGGAGCAAGAACTAATCTCGCTGCTAATAAGGACTATTACTTTCTTTGTTTTAAATGTGCAAAACAATCATTCAGTAGCCCTGGGATGTGTTATGAAAGAGCGATTATTTCGAGTCCAATAGACTGGAAAAATGTGTTCTCTGTCAAGAAGACACTGGAGAGCCACTGCAGTGCCCTGCACGTTCAAAACGAGGTGGTATTGGTGCCGGATGTTAGACGCTTGCATCAAAATTAAAGTAGTTTGTGGAAATAGGTAGTTTACCACTGCCTGTCACATTAGATGCCCTAGATGAAGGGAGTGGTGTTGAAAACACACTTTTTCAACACAATGCTTGCTGGCATAAGAGATGTAGCTCCAAATTTAATGCTACGAAACTTAAAAGAGCTCAAAAGCGAAGCGCTGACGCGATAGAATCAATGAGAGAAATTCCCCCAAAACGGACACGTACAAGTCTTTAGTGTACTGCTTCGAAATCAGTCTGCTTCTTTTGCGAGGAACTAGACTCCGAAGAGCCCCTTCATAGTGTTAGCACTTTCAGTCTAGACTCTTGAGTACGTCAAATGGCCATGGATCTACAAAATGAAAAGTTGTTGGCGAAGCTAAGCGCCGGTGACATGTTGGCACAAGAAGCTAAATATCACAAATAATGCTCAACAACACTGAGCAACCAAGCCCGTTCAAAAATGTCAAAAGCGGCGAAAGTAGATGATGACGAAAAATTGACTCCCGGAATTGTCCTTGCAGAATTAATTTCATACATAGAGGAAAGTCGAGCTGAAAGTAAGAGTGTTTAAGTGTTTAAAATGACAAAGCTGTCGGAAATGTACACATCCAGACTAAAGCAACTCGGGATTGTTCAACCTTGCGCTCTGCATTCAACTAGACTCAAGAATAGGATACTAGCAAGTATTCCTAGTCTATGAGCCTACCAACAGGGTCGGGATACGTTGTTGGCCTTTGATAGCGACATTGGAACAGCACTACAGCGAGTCTGTGAAGCTGATGCAAACTATCTTGCAAAGGCAGCCACCATTGTTAGGAAAGAAATGTTGGCTACCAAGTCTACCTTTAAGGAGACATTTCAAAGACAGTGTCATGAGAACTCAGTCCCGCCTTCTCTGGTGTCTTTGGTGAAAATGATTTTGTATGGGCCAAACATTGAAAGTCAACTTGAAAACTCCTCTTCTCAAGCAGCACTCACTGTTGCCCAGTTACTTCAGTTCAACTGCTAAATCCGTCGATCGCCGTGAAATAAATTCCAACTGTGATCGCCATAGCAAGGATCGAGAAGCACCTGTGCCTCTTTACGTTGGTCTGTCTGTCCATGCACAAAAGCGTAAACGAGAGCTAGGGGACACTCTTTTCAAATTAGGCATGTCGATTTCCTATGATCGTGTTCTTGGCATCTCAACGGAGATTGGAAATTCCGTCTGCCGTAGGTTTAAAGAAGATGGTGTTTTGTGCCCCATTAAACTACGAAGAGGCCCGTTTACAACTTCAGCCATAGACAACATCGACCACAACCTCAGCTCAAAGCGGCCCAGGGGTCTTTTCATGGAACTGGCATTTCCCTTTTCCAAAATATATCTGAAGGTAATCCAGGATGTGAGCGAGAGGCGATCATCATGGCAAATGGCGCTGGATCAGTTACTAAATCAATTTGTTCTTTGCCAGAATGGTATGCGGAGGTACCCCCGGCTGTTCTGCGAAGCGAAAAAGCACAACTACCAGACATGGGGAGGCCCGAAGGTGCCGATGGCTGTTTTCTATCAATGGCAATCACTGACGAATAGGAATGGCTTGATCAAGTGAAGATATCAGTAAATCAAGAATCATATCATGGAGAGACACCAGTAGCTTGGGCAGGACATTACGCCAACTTACAGCCAAAGCAAGCAGTAATGCCAGCAATAACATCGCTGCCTCCTTTATTCCTAGATGAGGCTAAGAGTGTGCCGATGATTCGCCACTTGATGGACGTGATCAAGAAAACCACAGAATACCTCAACCCTGGTCAGGCTCCAGTCATAGCAGTTGATCAACCGTTGTTCACTGTAGCCAAACAAATACAATGGAACTGGCCCGAGTCCCATGACGAGCAACACTTTTTTTTCATTCTTGGAGGCCTTCATATAGAGATGGCAACCCTTTCAGTTCTCGGAAACTGGCTAGAAGATAGTGGGTGGACAAGCGCTCTCGTACAAGCCAACATTGCATCACCAGGGGTGGTGAATTCTTTTGTCAAAGGTTCAAATGTCAAACGAACTCGACGTGCTCATTAGGTGACAGCAGCTGTCTTGTACTCTTTGCTCACACAAGCCTATGATGAGTACAAGCAGACTGAGACGCTTGAAGAAGTTCTTTCATTTAGTGACTGGTGCAGAACAAAGACAAAAGCCTCGCCACAATTCCACTTCTGGTACATGACAATACAGCTGGAACTGCTCTACCTCGTATTCCTGCGGTCACTGCACACGTCTTGCCTCCCTCTCTATCTTGATGTTCTTCAAAAATTAACACCTTGGTTTTTCGCTCTTGACCATGTCAACTATTCAAGATGGGTACCAGTCCACACGCATGATATGCTAACTCTTAAGAAGAGGCTTCCCCAGAACTATGCGCACCTTCTCAATGGTGGATTTAAAGTACAGAAGACTGCTAAAGTGTCTTCTGCCATCGCCATTGACCACGCGCATGAAAAGAATAATGCTATGGCGAAGGGTGACGGGGAAGCTGTCGGGCTGACAGAAAATCCTGCCGCTCTACGGCGCTGGATGATTTCTGGTCCAGAAGTTGCAAGGTTGATAGCAGAATTTGAAGCTTCCTCAGGCACAGAGGAGAGAATGAAACCTGGGTCGACAAAGCATCACGAAGAGGCAAAAAGCACCCAGCTATCTTTCACTAAGGATGTGAAGGACTTAATCTCGGTCATTGATGAGTATCAGTATTAGGACCTCTATGTAAACCACTTTTAGTGATGGAGCTTCCTAATAAAAGATTGTTACTACTATGAGAAACCCGCTCACTGATGAAAGTGGAGATCTTCTCGTTCTTGACACAAAAGATATAGCTGATGCTTCTGTAGTGAAGACGGTAGAAGAGGTCGAAACACTTGGACAGGAACAGTTCGAAACATTTGTCAAGGAGAGATTACGTGAAGAAAAAACAAAGAACATGAATGATCCTATGAAGAAGAATAAGCTTCCATTATTCAGAAGTCCTTGCCAGAGAGAACCATCCAAAGACAAGCAGCAAATCTCATCTTTAAAGAGTGACTGTGCACCTTTCTCACGGCTGCTTATCTCGTATCAAACAAGGGAAGGAGACTTGGACGATTTTTTTGAACATGAAAACCAAGGTTACCCACCATCAATATCACAAAATGGAAAGCTTTGTCTTCCAGGAAAGAAAACCGACCTAACGGACTGCATTCAATCACTGTCGCAGCCTCGAACCAGGGCCCCGACACCAATAGATACAGCTATAATTGATGGTGCAGCAGCTATTAACATGGTGAAACCAACAAATACAGTAAAAAATTTCAAGAGTATGCAGATCTGGTGTTCATTCCATATGTCAAGGGCCAGCTGCAGCATGCGCAAAGGCTTGACATCACATGGGACGAGTATGTACCAAACAGTTTGAAAGCAACGACCAGAGGAAAGAGGGGACGTGGTATTCGCCGGCGTGTTCAGTCTTTGACAACTGTGTCAAAAAACTGGAAGGAATTCCTGCGNTGAAACCAACAAATACAGTAAAAACATTTCAAGAGTATGCAGATCTGGTATTCATTCCATATGTCAAGGGCCAGCTGCAGCATGTGCAAAGGCTTGACATCATATGGGACGAGTATGTACCAAACAGTTTGAAAGCAACGACCAGAGGAAAGAGGGGACGTGGTATTCGCCGGCGTGTTCAGTCTTTGACAACTGTGTCAAAAAACTGGAAGGAATTCCTGCGTGTAGATGCAAACAAGAAGGAACTATTTGGTTTTTTAGCAGAACAGATTCCCCTTGTAGATTTCGGCGATGGCAAGCAAGTTATTGCTACGAAAGGAGAAGAAACAGGAGGTAAACCCAGTCAAGCATGATAGGACAATTTTTAATTGATTGTAGATAAACCAAAACGAAAGCAGTTATTCTGGCGAATCATAATGCAACGAACTAATACGAATTCGAAGCAATTACTTATGGCCGGCGCCAAGCGCGGGGAAATACCTTCGAGCAATTGGTTTTGGTTTTGCTTCTAATTGGTTGTCAGCATCTGCGCTTACAGTAGCTGAAAGCGTAATTTTCTGCTTTCGCAGCAAATGTACTGAATTAAATTTAGAACTTAACCACCCAACTTTTTCACAACCTTTCAACTGGATCACCAGTTTAAACCTGTATTCATCAATACATTTACTCGTGTAAGTTTTAAATATACGACAATGATTTGGAATTTTACAGACATGTTTCGGGAGAAACTTCTGCATTCTTCAGTGCAAAGAATACCAAAGAATAAATTCTATACACCTCACTCGTTTCAAATGGATTTCATGGACCTCGTTAATTAAATTAAACATAAACACACCAAATAATTGACCGGCTCATTCACTTACTTAAGCAAATTCTAAGGATTACATTGGCCATATATGAAGTAGGTGGATGGTGGAAAGCGATATCTTTTTGCAACATCGCGTGGAAGTATCGTCCTGGAAGCAAGAACATTACCAGTGTTGAAGCAGTCGGTT